GGAAACTTTGCGCAGCGTTGCATAGTCCAAACGTCATGACGTTGAATTCGAAAAGGCCGAAGGGTGTGATAACCGCTGTTTTCGGTCGGTCCTCCTCCGCCACCGGAATTTGGTGGTAAGCCCGTTCGAGGTCGAGCGTTGTGAACATGGAGCAATCACGAAGTTTGTGTGAAAAATCATGTAAGTGTGGTACGGGATACTTATCTGGTTTCGTGCAAGCGTTGAGTCGCCTGTAATCCCCACAGGCTCTCCACTCGCCTGACTTTTTAAGGACGAGATGGAGAGGGCTGGCCCATTGACTTTTTGAGGGCCGGCATATCCCTTGCGTCAGCATATGCTCGAAGTCGCTTTTGGCAGCTTTAAGCTTCTCACCAGTGAGACGTCGAGCCCGCTCAGCCCGCGGCGGACCCTGGGTTTCTATGAAATGCTGGACACCATGTTTGGGTAATCCAGTGAATTTGACCGGGCGAGTGATCTCGATAAATTCGTCAAGTAACGTATGGAACGGCATACCTTCAGCGATCGTTCTCACCGTGGGTGTGTTTTCGGTAGATACCTGCCCGTGAGAGGATAGGTTAGTTGTAGAATCTTTTAAACATTTACCTTTCAAATCAATTAAGAGCGCGTAGTGATGCATGAAGTCGGCGCCAAGAATGGGTCTAGTGACGTTAGCGACGATGAAGTCCCATGGGAACTTCCTTCGCAAACCCAAACTCAGGGTTAGACGCTTGGTTCCGTACGTGTCAATTGCGGATCCGTTGGCCGCGAAAAGTCGTGGCGTCTCAGTTTCGGTGCGTTTCCTATCTGCAGCATTGCGAGGAATGACGGAGACGTCAGCACCTGAATCCACGAGAAACCTCAGACCGGATCCTTGATCCGCGATTATGAGGCGGTGTTTCTGGGAACCGTCGTCATGGACCGCCTTGACTGATGACGACGATTCTAGTTTTCCGACTGCTTGTTTGCCTTGAAACTGCAAGGGCTGGCACATTTCCTAGCGTTCTCGCCGAAAGTTCTGTGGTAGTAGCAAAATCCCTGTTGATTGTTCTGGGACCGTCCCCTGGATGTGGACCTGTTTCGCCCTCGTTCCTTCTTGCGTTGGTCATGGATAAACTTCTCTATGGCTGCCAATCTCTTCTCCAGTGTGTCTTGTAGTGGCTCAGACTCAAGACTATGTGCAGTGTTTTGAGTGCTCGATGCCTTATCTTTTGCTACGGCTGACACTTGACTGTAGTTCCTTTCCACAATTTTGTCTGCCATAGTGGCCAGTTTTTGTAGCTCGACGTCTTCCACGATGGATAGTACATCCTGAGCTCTAGCTGGTAGTCGTTATAGCCAAAGTGTGCGTAGAATCTTGTCATTCACTCTACCACCTGCGAGGGTTCGCATCTCCCTTAGGAGGTCAGTTGGAGTCCTGTCTTGCAGGTCAAGATCCATGAAAAGCTTGTGAATTTGTTTCTCATCAGATTCCGTGTATCGAGATATTAATGCTGTCTTAAGTGCATTGTACTTATCCGTATCTGGTGGAGCTTCAATGATGTCGTCAACCTTGCTGATGGCTTGTTCATCGAGATGCCGTATCACCGCGTTGTATTTTGTCGAGTCCGATCGAATGTTGAAACATTGGAATTCGGATTCTAGTTGTATGAACCATAGCGTTGGGCGTCTTCGCCAGAATGTGGGAAGTTTCACGTTGCGGAACTCGTTCGCTTGAATCTCTGGTGCTTGTTGCAGTGCCAGATTCTCACGTACCTGCTCAGGTTGTTGCGGTTGTTCCTCAGCCATGGCGTTTGTAAGGTCCCTTTGTTCGCCCGCGTGGTGGCTTCTTTGAGTTTCCTCGATGATCACGTCGCGGTCACCAATTTAACCTGTGTAGCGGACGCGTACACAAGTCGTTTATATTTTTATCTACTCACGAGGAATATATTGCACTCAGGTAAGTTTCACACACGTAAGCTTTTATTTTCTTTGTTTCAGGTACAGAGTATACTATTTGCTGTGGATGCCATGGAACGCGCTGGAAGACTACTCCTACCCTACGCTAGCCGTAGCGCTGCCGTCGGCTTCCTGCCAGCGACGGCCGGTAAGTATGGCAGTGCTTGCCCTAGTTCGGTCGGTAAGTACCGTCTGCTGTTCGCTCTCTACAGTACCCCCTTCCTAGCGGTGTGCTTGCACCCGCGAAATGCACCTTTTTGGCTTCGTAAGTCCTTGGGTTTTCCGGGCGCCTCGTTGGCTGTGGTGCGGTTGCTGGAAAAGTAGCATCTGGAGTTTTCTTTTCAGGCTGCTCCCGCATCCTTTCTGATGTTGCTGGTTGCTGTAGGTCGTTCCTTGGCGTGTCCTCGTTAGCCGGTATGCTTTCCAGGAATGCTGGTTTCAGTCTTTCCGTTGATACCGTTTCTTTTTTTCCATTGACTAGTATGACGAAGACGGAATCGGAAATTCTATCCACCACTGCAAAAGGCCCTTCATACGGTTGTTCCAGCGCCTTCTTACAGTGATCCATGCGCAGGAATACGTGGCTGCAGGAATGCAATGTTCTGTGGGTGAATGCCTTTTTCTTAGAATGGTGTGCCGTGGGTCCTGGTCGAATGGCTCGAGTGTAGCGATGAAGCTGTTCAGAGTAGATGGGATGTTCATCGGTTGTCTTCGAGTCCACGAAAAACTCTCCAGGGATGCGGAGATGAGTTCCGTATACTAGTTCCGCTGCAGAAGTGTTGATGTCTTCTTTTATGCTCGTGCGAAGTCCCAGTAACACCATTGGTAGTGTGTCGACCCATGAGTCTGTTTCATGGCACATTATGGCAGCTTTTAATGAGCGATGCCATCTTTCTATTAGACCGTTGGATGCCGGATGGTACGCAGTCGTTCTCACCCTGTCGGCTCCAATGAAGTGTGCTAAGGCGTTGAAAAATGAAGATTCGAACTGCGATCCTCTGTCTGTAGTAATCGTCGATGGTGCTCCAAATCTTGCTATCCAGTGCGTGAGGAAAGCATTTGCTACTGTCTCGCTACCGGTTTCGGTGATGGGTATAGCTTCCGGCCACCTGGTGAACCTATCTATCATCGTGAGGCAGTATCTGTACCCTTTTGAGATAGGTAATGGTCCCATAATGTCGATATGCACATGGTTAAATCTAGAATCAGGTATTGGAATATGTTCTGGTGTGTTGTGATTATGCCTTGCGACTTTACTTCTCTGGCACGCTATGCACGTTCGCGCCCAGTCCGCAATGTCCTTATTCATTGTAGGCCACACGAATTTTTG